TGGTCATTCCTTTTTCACCAGGCATTTTCAGACACTGTGTACACCACTCAGGAGAAACATCAAGAACTCTACACTCTGAGTGTGTTGGGGGCAAGAAGTGGAGAATGCCTTTACCTTGCTTATGGCTAACAAGATCTGTAAATGATGCTGGGAAACCATAAAGGGTGCCCATTCCTGGGAAGCAGAGCCATCTGCTTGAAACTTCTGCAAAGTTTCGGGCTGGAAATGTTGCACCAATGGAGAGCAGCTGAGTCACTGACTCAAGTGGGATCCTTCTGCCATTCCTTCATTGCCTTCACTACCCTGGGGCAATACAGTCTTTATTTGCCTTCTTTATTTTCTTTGTTTCTTTTTTTTTTTTTTCCTTCTATGGAACTAATGCTCCTGACAGCGAGAGCCTAAGAGCACTTACAAGAACAAGTATGCTGCTATGAAAGCTCCCCCTCTCCTCCACCTGTGGCCCTGCGATGCTTCCCAGACCTGATCTGCAGCATCCACTGTTCATTCAATCCTAAATCATGAGCATCCTGCTTGCCTTACTGTGGTGCAATTATCGTGTTTGCAATATACCCACCGAACATTGCCCCCCATACTGTCCATCCCCCAGGCCAGGGCCAGCTGGGTGACATCCACCTGCAGTTTGATCCCCCTGTGTGTGAGACACGCTGCCCTGCTCCCCGAGAGCTGAGTAGACTCCCCACACACGCTGCCAGAAGACCTTGCTCGGTATCGTTGCTGACCTTGCAGTATCAGGGCAAAGATCTCCCTCTTCAACAGACCAAGAGCCCTGGCTGGATTTTCTTCCTACTCTGCAAATCCCTCCTCCAAAGGCTGTTGCAGATCCCCACCGCAATCCTGGCCAAACCCCTTAGACCTGCTTATCAGCAACCCCTTTGCACTTTCAGTCCCAGGCTGTCTCCGTGCTGGGAGCCCATGAAAACTGGGGCTTTGTGGTCCCTACATGTCCCACCCTGTCACTGTCCTGCATCTCTCCAACATGGAGTCTGTGGCTGAGAAGTAAGAGGGGGCTGTCAAGGCATCCTCAGGCTGGAAGGGTTTAGCACCCCAAGAACTGAGGTACTGGCTGGCCCTTCAACACCAGCCCCTCCACCTCACCTGCTGCTTGATGCTCTTGGGCTGCCCCCACTAAGTGGGGACAGCTTTCTGGAGGAGTTGCTCCCAGATTTTTCCATCACCTCCACATGGCTCTAACTTTTCCCCTTTCCCCCATGTGTCCCTCCCATTCAGCCCAGCTCCCCAGATGAGCACATCACACTCATTGCCACAGCACCACCCCTGAGAGCTGACCTGCTCATCGACCTAATGGGTTTCCAAGGGGGTGGGGGAGAGGGGAGGAGAGAGAGTGGCTGATGCTTCTCAGCCACTCATCTTGGCCCAGAGCTAACGAGGCATCTCAAAATTAAAAAGTGAACTGCAATTCCCAGCAGGCCTGTCCTCCTTTTGGCATTAGTCGGAGTTCTCTGTCTTTCTCAAAAAAAAAGAGGGCTGGGGAGCCATGAGTTGCATTTGGAGCTGCTGAAGCACCACATCACGGGGATGGTGGTGGTGCTGGAATGAGGAGGGCAGCCTGGGGCTGCTGTGCCGTGGAAGCACCAGTTCTCTTAGAAAGGTTGTGAGGTGCAAGAGCTGCCTTGCCATGGCAAGGAGCACAAAGGGTACATGGGAACAGGTTCTTCTAGTGCCTCTACACCCCAAAGTCCACATCTCCCTCCTGGTTTGTGAGCAGCAACTGTGGGTACGTAGCAAAGGCAACGGATGCAGAGGAGGTACCCTGCCTGCAGGGCTAAGGCGTGGGGACGGGGCAGGGGTGATTGCCACCAGGCTCTGATGTGGGAGGAGGATGGCAAGAGAGAAATAACACTGCTGTAGGAGGAAGACATGGGGAAAGGAAGCAGGGAAAGAGCAGTGAAGGGAGGAAGGGAGGGCATCCTGGTTTATCACTTTTGTGGGTTGCATTTCTTGCATGGCATTCTGTCTGGTAAGGACCATTCTCTGTCTGCACCTCCAGGGTGCCCAGCACCACCTGCTCTGACCTTCCTGTCCCCAGTGCCCTCATCCTTGAGCTGCAGAGGGCCAAGGGCTCTGACTTGTAGATGTGCCCTCTGGAGCAGCTCAGCCTAGCTCACAGGCAACTGAGTGGTAGCTGCTTTGCTCCAGTCCTCTCCGCTCCTCCTGCAGGCAGCTGCCTGTCCAGCCAAACCCCTCTATCACTGCTGGGCCAGCCCTGAGGTAGCCCCATGCCACTCCTCCGGGGCACATGGCTCGAAGCAGGACTTGCCACCCTTCTGAGGTGCTGTCTTGGCCATTCAACAGCTCACTCTGATTGGTCTTCCAGGGGCAAGAGCATGAGAGGGTGAAGAGTGATTGTCTCACCCAGTGGAGATTGCTTACACCCATCTTGCCCAGCAGAAAGGCAGCCGAGGGGTGGCAGGATAGTCCAGGTGGAGCATGAGGGGGGCTGCAGAACATCCCTGAGAGGTAGCAGGTCTGCACACACACAGGTTCCAGGGCTTTGCCAAAGTGTGCCTTTTCCAGCTGTATCCAAGTTATTGGGGGAAGTTTCACCCTCTCTGCAGCGGGGCTGTGGATGAACTAGAAGCCACAAAGGGTTAGACACATCCTGGCATGATCCCAGGATTTCTCCTAGCAATGGGTTTGGTCCAAAATCTCAGAGAACTGGCGAGCTCTGGGGACAACAGTGGAGCAAGGAAACTTCCACCCCTTTCCTCTGGGCTTGTAATGCTAATGATCTCCAGCTTTCAGACTCACCTCCCAGCCCACCCTCCCCTCAACAGTAAATGCTGCAGGGGTAATTTTGTCCAGATATCTTATTCTCACAGGGAGAGGGACAGACATGCTGGAGTCAGGACATCCCTGCACACCAAGCACCAAAGACAGTCACTGGTGCTGCGAGACAGAACTTTGCACTCACAAGCAAAGGCAAGGACAAGAAAGGGTGAAGGGCAACAGTGGGATGAGTGCAGAAGAGAGGGTTACTGTCATCTTTCTATTTCTCTGCTTGAGTGAGGGAAAATGCAGTTTGTACTTTGGGAATTCAGAGTAAAATCAAATAAAATGCAACGGTTGCCCAAAACCATCCATTTTACAGTCAGAAAGGACGCAGTGCCTGCCGAGTCCAGCCCGTGCTCCGCACAGACCTGGCAGGGTCAGCAGCACTGCCTGCACCAAGCCCCGTGCTGCCTTGCCCAGGCTGAAGGAGAGGCTGTTTCGTGTCTTAGGGGGGTGGCTGGATGCCCTGGGAACCTGGCATCAGAGCACACAGGCTGTGAAATGGTCCTGGGCTGCTGGACCTGCAGCCCCACAGTCCCCCATTACACCCCTCTGCTCTATGCCTCCGCAGAGACAAATCACCTACAGTTTTACTGTATCATGATCTTCTCAATGGCTTACAAGATGGTTTTCTTGCTGGTTTTATGTCACCTCTGCAGTTCTCCCCCTCATAAAATGTGACTGCACCAATTCCTGTGATTGGGACTGGTCAGCTAATAGGGAGCTTTCATGTTTCCCAGACAGAGCTTTTAAAACAAATCCCGTGTTCAAAGGAGAGAAGGGAGAAGGGGAGCTCCTGTTCCTTGCAGAGCACTGCAAGCCCCTCAGAAGTGGTTCCCCACTGTGCTGAAGTGACATCCCTGATGCTCCTGAGTGCTATGGAGGGATAAGCATCTTCCCCACCCCACGGCTCTCCCTGAGGTCAGGGTCCAGCAGCTCTTGGTGCTGCCACCAGAAAGCCCCTGTTCCACCCCGGAGTAGAGCGTGGTGGCAAGGGTGGTGGGGATAGTGTGTACGGGCAGGGAAGGCAGTCTCTGCTGAAGGGAAAGGGGTGGTGAGTGAATGGGGGCAGGTTTGGCTGAGGTGGAGGGCAACCAGAGGTTTCAGGCAGAGACAGGTTTTTTCATGGGGTCATGGGAAACTGGAATACACTGGAGTGACTTCAAAACCTGATTAAATCACTGGGGATATTCCCCCACCCGCAGCTTCAAGGAACTCTGGATCAGGCCCTTTGGGAGAAAAGTCCTCTGTTATATCACCACGGAATTGGCCCTGGCATCTCTCCCCCTCAAGAGCACATGCATGAATCTGCTTCTCAGCAGTCATCTGGGGAAGGACATCTCGATGTGATTCCTGTCCTCCTGCAGGCTGAAGATCCCCTAATCCCACACATCTCCTCGTGAGGAGGAAATAGCATTGCCCAAAAAAGGCTGAAAACATCCAAGCTTGGCAGGCTGAAGCCTGTCCTCCAAATCCCCCTCCCTGTGCAGTCAGCTGTGGTTCTCCACTGCCTGCTCCTCTCCAATAAATGGACTTCAACGGTATCCTGGAGCGCAGTGGTACCCAAGGTTTATTTCATATTTCATTTCCACCAGGACAACAGAGAGAAGGCTCTTCCCATTCTCCTTTTTACTCCTAGGACACAAGAGAGGAATTGCAGATCCCTGCATCTCCTGCTGAATAGCAGCCAGGCCACCAGCTCCCCAGGGAATATTTTATCCCATATTGTTGTTGAGGGGGCAGCCTGGCAGAACAACCAACAGCCCTGCCAACGATCACCCCAACCCTCTGCAGGGAAAAGAGCTAAAACATCTGGCATTGGGAACAGAAGCAGAGGATGGATGACCTGTTGTCTGCAGTGGGGGACAGTTTGGAGTAGAGGAAAAGTAGAGTATCTCTGTCCCAGCAAAATATCCCCAGAAACATCACACCCTGGACAACCCAGCTGTCTGCAGAAATGGGTGATGGCAGGAGGAGAGGAACCAGTGAGAGGAGGAGGAAAACCAGGAGTCAGGAAAGGAATGTGAGGGAGAAGGGCAGGAGGAGATGAGGCTAGAAAACAGAGGAGGGTAGGAGGCGTCAGATGGGAGCATTTCACGAAGTCAGTGAGTGCTGCGAGCAGCCAAGCCAACAGCACGGACACATGCCGGCCCCTGTGCTCTGCTCCCCGCAACCAGCCATCACCATACCTCCAAAGTCAGGCCTGAGGCGGACGTCATAGCCCTTCAGCAGTTTGTCCACAATCTCTTTCACCACAGAAATATTCCCAGTGGATGGGCTGAAAGATAAAAGAAGAGAGTCCTTGTCACCTACCATGTGCCACCGGCTGTAGGAGGGGGTCCTGGCCAGGCAGCCCCCCCGCAGCCCCCCTCACGCCCCATGGCACTGAAGCACCTGTGTGTGCTACAGACACCCCAGCCACAGGCAGAGCCTCCCCGTGTCCTTTCTTACTCATATTTTCTGTTCCTGGCACAGCTCTCAGCCCGATCTGCACACAAGCCCCCCATGGCTGCCATGGGTCCTAAGCCATGCTGAGGGGTGGCACAGGAGTCTCAGCAGGTATTTTGACTCTTCCCTTTAAGTCACCCTGACTCCTGGGTACCCCATACTCCATCCCCCTGCACTCCCACCTGGGGTGTGCCTGCGCCTCAGGGGTCCCGCCAGGCTGGTGCACTCCTCAACACAGGCACCGCTCACCACACACACACTCTCCCTGGCCACCAACCCACGCACTCGGGACACCTCACTGTGCCCTGCCCGTAGGTGGGTGCACACAGGCAGAAATTGTCCTTTCTGTTCCACTAAGGTGTGCATGGGGTGGCTGCAGCCTTTCTCTCACAGGGCTCGCTCCCCTTCCCCTGCCACGCTGGGTACTTGCTCCTGGTCTCACACCAGGCAGCACGGACTTGTCATGCACACAGGTCCCCACTACACAAGTACCCCCCACCCTGCACTCTCACACACACTGGTGCAACCTCTGCTTCTCAGTGCACCCAGGTATTTCTTCATATTATTGAAGTAACGGGAAAAACAACTCTCCTTTTGTCCCATGGCCTCAACATCCAGCTGATCTTTGGCATGTAAAAATTCATCCCCTGTCACTCAGCATCACCATGACTTCTTAACAACGCAAATCAAGAGACAGAGACAAGAGAGTCCATCTTTCCCTCTGTATGCCAGAGCAGTGTTCCTCTCCCTCCCAACACTCTGACTTGCACACAGGGGGGTAAAACCACCCTCCCTAACACGGATAGAGCTCCTCCAGCCATTTCAACAAGAAGGGAGCTTCCTCTAAAAACAGCCCAAGAGCCAAAGCAAAACTGAAGGTGGGAAACCAGAAAGCAGAGGATGCTGGAAATATTGAAACTATTCAGTGCTGTGGGGTATACAGGTTTTCTGCCTGAATACCCAGATTTTATGCCACCCTCGTCCCCTGCTTTGCATAAGAATAGAGACTCAACCAGTGACAACTGCTGCTCTTTGCAGTCACCCACCACAACAGCATGTCTCCCTGTCAACACCACCTCCCACATTCATCCAAGTCAAGCTGGAAAGCTGCACCACAGCATTACCTCTGCCAGCTAGCCCCGTGCCCCTCTGCGCCCCGGGGTTTGCGCTGGCATGTCTGTGTGTCTGCAGACAGACACGCATGCTCTCCTGGCTGTACAGAGGATGTACGGACCCACTGCCTGTGCACACACACATGCAGACACACGAAAGCGCTAATACAGCTGTGAAAATATGTCTCTGCATGTGTGGCTACATCCAAACCTGTGTGGAGGTGACCGTGAGTGCAGATCTTTCTCCACCAGGTTATGACAAGGCACTGGGCTGTGGGCACCATTGATGCAGGAGCACAGAAACAGGCATTTGTGGGTACCTGGGACTGGGTTCCCGGCTGCCCAGACTCTCCGTACAGGTGTGGGTGGAGACATGTGGGACCACCGGGGGGTCTGGGCATGCGTTAAGTCTCTGCATGCACCGGCTGTGTATGTGCAGGGATTTATCAACCGAACAGGCATGTGCAAATGTGAGACAGCACACTTCCCAGGCCCACATGAACAAACCGTTCAGCACTTGTGCTCGGGGG